ATCCTTTTGTTTAGCCTACGCGTAAGAAACTTGTGGACGTTGCCCCGAGGCGCCAGGGCGAGTTCCCGCCAGGGCGGCAGCGGCGCGTCTTCGTCGTCAGCAGGGGGCGCCCCCGGCAGCGCGGCCAGCGCGGCCCGGCCAGCGGCACCCAGCAGCAGGTCGGAGGTGTCCAAATCGGCCAGGCCGAGCAGGCCGCTTCTCTCCAGTGCCCCCACCAGGCTCTGCGCCCTGGAGCCCGCCCAGGTCGCGGAGGCGAGTCCTCCTGGAAGTCTATGGGCAGCAACGGGCGCGCTGCGCCGTTGTCACGATGTCCAAGCGCGCAGGCTCCTGGTCAACCTCCAGTGCAGCTTTGTCGCGGCGGCGGCGGCCCGCGCGATCGCTGCCCGGCTGGCGCGCAGGAGGTGCACAGGAGGAGGAGGCCCGTCGCCTGCAGGAGGAGCAGGAGGCCCGCCGCCGTGCCCCAGCGCCGCAAGAGGAGGCCCGCCGCCTGCGCCGCCGACAGGTGCGGCGAGGCCAGGCTCGGCAGCTCCGCGAGCTTGGCCAGCAGCGTCGCCGCGCGCGCCGCCGTCTCGGCGCAGCGTTCGCCGGCAAAGGCGGGCGTCCCCCAGTCCAGCCGCCGCCACCCCGCATGGTCTGGCAAGTTCCTCGCCAGCAGCGGCTCGCCCAGGGGGGCGCTCACCGGCGTCAAACCCCGCGGGCGCCGCTGCTCCTCAAGCCCGGCCGGGCACGGCGAGCGCGCGGACCGAGCCCGCGTCTTGTCTGGCCGCTGCTCCAGGCCAAAGTCCCCCAAGGCTTCCTGCGCGGCAGGCGTGGCCGCGGCGGCCAGAGCGGGCGGCACCAGGACGACGACGTCGTCCGAGTAGGCCAGGACTCGCACGTCATCGGGCCGGAATCCCCTGGCAGTTGCGCCCGCGCGCCGCGCGTCCTCCAGCGCCTGCCATCGCGAGCGCACCCCGCAGGCGAACAGGAGCGGCGCCAAGGGACCCCCCTGGCCCACCCCGTCCGCGGAGCGCCGCCCGTGGCAGGCCCCGCAGCCGCCCCAAGAGTAAACGTTGGGAGCGCCGCTGGCAGGAGAGCTCAGCGCAAGGGAGGACCTCTGGCGCTGCGTCCTTCAGCTCGCTGCGTTTACTTTTCTCCCAAACCCAGAAATTCCTCGTGGAAGCGTGCGTAACAAGCACGAACCGACAGCTACATTGCCAACCAAAAAAACAAGTTGAATGCTACAAGTTTAGATCGACATGCCATTGCACCTCGACACCACAACGGGAATCTTGGAGGTTAGCCTGCATACTGCTGTCGTCATGCGCAAGGGACCGCACCCTTCTCTACAAGAGATGTTATGCATGAGAAAACGGCCTGCTTTGGCAGCGTGAACCCGTAAAACAGATTACTTCTGGATTCAGAGATCATGACATTCTGTCGGGCGTGTCCCCCTACGGGGGGATTCCGACGAAACAAGAAAATACCCCCAAAATAACACAAACATGATCCAAGAATGGTCTGGGAACTATTTTTGGAGTATCTTTTGACCTTGTTGGGGCACTTTTAGGGGTATTATCATTTTTCGTCGGAGATCCCCCTCTACGGGGGGCAGGCCCGACACAAGGCTTGTCCTGAGTGGCGAAATGAGTCGCCTGCGCGCACGGAGGCCCACCGCCGACTCTCCCCGGCAGGCATGGCGGGCGGCGGTGGGCACGGTGGGCAGCCGTTGGCTCGGACGGGGTCGGGGGACTCTCGTCCCCCTTCGGCACCGAGGGGTGCCACCGGGCACCGAGAGGTCCTCTGTGCAGAGCCACGGGTCGCCCCGGAGAAGTGGTGCTCCCGGGAGGGGGCCAGCCTCGCGAGGAGAGAGCATCGCAGCGGGCAGGGTGGCTCGAATCGGAGATGGTGGAACTAGCAAGTCTGGTGGTGACGGCGCACATCGCGACCGCGGTGCTCCGCGCGACGGCCGGCCGCGCTGGGCCCCCGCTGGAACGCGGCGCGGCGCGGCGAGCTCGCGCTCCACATGTGCACCTACTGCGGGTGCGGCACTGAAGCGCAGGAATTCAGGACAAGTCGCGCAACCCGCCCGTTTCTGACGTGTGATACGCTGCGCACTCGAGTCCGGTTGCATCCCAATGCTCAATGCTTACTCGACGCATGGCTCAAATCTATGCAGCATCCATGTCGTCACGCCGAACTCTGCAACAACTGAAACATCGTATGTCGTCAATCCGTCTGGATGTGGGTCTTCCCGCTCTGCGCATCGCATCACAAATTACGCAGGCACAACTGTGGAACCCGCTGAAGTACTTGCCGTATCCGTTCTTGCTGACCAGTTTTGCTTACTTCTTGTACCCTGTGCCGCGTTCGCTGACGTGCTGTAGCTATCCAGTCGCTACCGAGGGGGGCCAGGCCGTTGCAGTTTTCAGCCGCGGGCCCCCGCGGCTGGATGAGGGCGGGGCTGGCAAAGCCTAACTTCTGGCCCAGCGCTGGCACAGTACGAAGGGAGGCCTCAGCCGCGAGGCGAAGATCTCACGGCCTTATTCGGAGAGCGTCCCCGCGCAAACCAACTCCCGCTGCAGGACATGTCTGGGCTGGTGGCTGACTGAGATGGAGAAGTCTTAGGTGCCATGGCTATCGCATGTCGCACATGTGGCTGCATGCATATCGAAGAAGGGCTCACCCCCGCATCGATCAGGATCACAACTGGCGGCAAGGTGCTCGGGGTCGCGCTGTGCCCCACCCCCCTCTCCCGAAATACACGTTAGAGCCCCCCATGGACGCGATATCCTAGAGAGCGGTGCAGATCTGGGCTCTCCTGCCCTATACTCACCCAGCAACGGTTCGAAAGCGAGCTGACGAATCCGATGCAGTTTTCGTACAGCTGGCGCGCAAGAATCTGCCCTGGGCAGCGGTCCCTAGACCAGGGCCCTACCGTATACCAAGGTACGTATTTCTGGAATGACATTGCCACCCCTTGGGAGCGGCCTGGGCGGGAAAGCCGCCATTACGAAGCAGTGCTGCTGGCCGACGTGCCCCAGCGTCTTCTCCTGACCCTGGCGAGAGCTCCCGAGCAGGAGTGACGCGACCACCAGGAGGTCTGAGCGAGAGAGACCGCTGGCTGCCAAACCGAAGCACCCTGTCGCTCGGGCGTGGAGCCAGGGCCTATCTGGAAGCTGACTCGGTGGGATCAGAGCCGATGGGCCTGTTTCCCACCACCACCATACATTGGAGGGGGGACGGAGGTGGAGGAAGAGGAGGAGGAGGAGGAGGAGGAGGAGGAGGAGGAGGAGGAGGAGGAGGACCCCTTCCCCCTCCAATTTATGGTGGTGGTGGTGGTGGTGGTGGTGGTGGTGGTGGTGGTGGTGGTGGTGGTGGTGGTGGTGGTGGTGGTGGTGGAAAACGGGCCTATCAAGAGCCACCCGCTCTGCCTGCGCCTCCGCGGCTCGCTCGACCTCCGCCGGCAGCGGCGGGAGGGCAGCCGCGCAGGCCGCGACCGGACACGGCCAGGCTCTGCTGCGAGGCGGGCCGCGCCGGCGGCCCTGGCGGCACGCTGCGCCTTGCAAGTGGGCAGCGCGTCGCTCCGCTCCGCGGGGCCTCCACTCCGCGTGGCCTCCACGCTCGGGAGCGGCGGAGGCGCGGCCAGCACGTCGCGCCAAGCCGCGATGGGCCAGGCCCGGCGGAGCGGCACTCGGAGCCAGAGTTCCTGACCGCAGTGCCCCTCGCGCTGGTGCGGAGCCTCCCCTGTCAGCGCCTGAGGCGCCTCCTCCTCCTCCTCCTCCTCCTCCTCCACCTCCTCCTCCAGGGAGGCGCGTCCCCTGGCGGGCAGGTGCGCGGGCAGCGGCAGCGGCGAAGGGCAGAGGGAGGGAGGGAGGGCGGGCTGGAGCAAGAGAAGAGGCCGGCAAGGTCTACCCCGGGGTTGGACGGGCAGGAGGAGTTAGCAGCAGGGGGGTGACTTCTTCCTCCTCCCGCCCCCTCTGTACCGCCGCAGCATCGTCCACATCCTCCTCCTCCTCCTCGTCCTCGTCCTCCTCCTCGTCCTCCTCCTCCTCCTCCGCCTCCTTCTCCTCCTCTCCCTCCTCCTCCTTGTCATCATTAGCAGCAGCATCATCATCACTATCCACCGCTCCCTCCTTACCCTCGTTCTCCTCCATTCTAGTGCTGCTGCTGCTGCTGCTGCTGCTGCTGCTGCTGCTGTTCCTGCTCCTGCTCCTGCTCCCCCTCCTCCTCCTCCTCCTCATCATCATCAGCCTCATTAGCAGCAGCATCATCATGACCTCTCTTGCTTACGAGTATGTAACACCTCCTCGTCGCACCACCAGACGTGCCGATACGTCGGGCCAGGCGTTTCGCCTGACACCTCGTCACTATGCATAACTGTGATAGTTGAACTTCCCAAGTGAAACGAGGATGGAAGTCGGCTCTCTTTCAACATGTCGCTCTGATCTTAGCGCCACGCACATTCCTCTGAACGGATTCCAGCAGCTACTAGCATGGAGGCCGACTCGTTTTCACAACATGGCTCCAGCCCTAGCGCCGCGCACATAAGGATAGAGAGCGAATCGCTTAGATGTAAGTCTCGCCGCACCGCCGCGCACAGTAGTGTGTTGAACACCCAACAACTCAAAAGATGGATGGCGATTTCTTTGCAGCAAGGGGCTCGCGCCGGAGACCTCTTCAGACTTCCTGATGTACCCTGGGCTTACTCTGCTCCGCCTCAGTTCCGCCCTCTCCTGCTCCTCGCCCTCATCATCAGCCACCCTCCGCCTCCGCATTCCCTTCTTATCCTGATCCTCAACCCTCCACTAGAAGGCGACCCCCCCCCATCCCGACACCCAGCCCCGAACCGGCGATCCAGGGGGTCGGGACTAAGGGTGGGGGCGTTTTCTGGATCCTTGAACCCCGAAAAACCATCCTCCCAACCCCACTTCTGGTCCTGGTCTCCTGGATCGCCAGTTCAGGGGTGGGAGTCGAGATTAGGGATGGGGCGGTGGGTTTTCGCCTTTCCCTTCCCCCCCCCTCCCCTGACAGCGCAGAACAGCGAAGCACAGCGCCGTGCAGAGCAAATGCCATATCTGGTGGCCCGCAGCGTACCGTAGACGAAGTAGGGTAGCCGACTGGCAGCCGCCAGGGCACCTGCAGCCTGACCCAGAAGCTCGGGCCGTCTGGCACCCCCGACAGGGTGCTGCTCACTGTGACACGTGTTGCCAGGAGATCGTTTTCTGCACGCTACTTCCGGCAACGGCCGTTACCCATGGGGTGGGCGGGGCCCCGGGTGGCGGTAGCGCCCGTGGGGGGTGGAGCACGTCGGGGCGGGGCTGCGCTGCGATCGCCACCGTGTGCGCGCGAGCACCGCCATCTGGAGAGTGTCCAGGGCCCCCCCCCCCCCGCACGATCGCTACCGTCGCCTGGGGTGAGGGTGGGCCCGGGTAGCGACCGTTACGCGCCAGAGAACACAAAAAACAATCTACTGTGCGCAGGGCTAAGCAGTGACAGGAGGGCGACCTTCTCGAGAAGCCCCCTCTCGCCACCCCTGCGGACCTACGGGCCTACGAGGACGCCCATTGTACAGCAAGCCGATCCTGGCCAGGCCCTCCATGAGGTCAGCGTATACGACCTCATGGGCGGGCAGGAAGAAACGGCAGGGCATTATTGTACCGTTTCCAAATATCTTGCCCTTGAGATTCAAAACGGTAGAACAAGACACACACGATTCGCCATATCTGAAAACCAGAGCCGGAACTGGAAACAAAACGGCGACGGAATCAGAAAAAAAAAACGGCGCAACTGACAGGGACAAGAAAGGCCCTGTCGTTTCTGGGGGGCTCAGGACAAGACTGGCCAACATCCGCGTGGTGCACAGCTGGCGTCGGATGAACGGAAGGGGCCGTGCCCAATCCGGTGGACCGCGGCCGGTCACGGCCGCATGACGTCCAGGCCGCGGGCGCCCCCCCTGGACTCCAGGGGGCGCCGATCGCGTCACAGTGGCGGCTGCCAGACCACCCCGCCGCCAGGCCAGCCGCCGGGCACCTGGGGACACCCCGTCTGTGCGCCGCTCAGACGAACGACGACGCGAAACGGGTCGCGCGCGAGATGGCACGGCGACCTTACGAGGAGCAGCAGCAGCAGCAGCAGCAGCAGCAGCAGCAGCAGCAGCAGCAGCAGCAGCAGCAGCAGAACAGAGGGAGGAGGCGAGGAGGACGATGGCGAGGACGGCGAGGAGGACGGGGAAGGCCAGGAGGGCCAGCAGAGCCACGGGCCAAGTCGGGGGGCGCGCGCCTGCTGCGGTGCCCTGCGCGGCTAGAGGTGCACGGGCACGCCCAACTGCAAGGCCTCCTCGGGACAGGGAGGGCGTCCACCGCCGCCACCGCTGGGCCCGTGCGTCGCGCAACCTCGCGCCCTCTTGGCGGCGCGCACAGGGGGGTGGAGGGAGGGGGGAGGGCTTCTTAGAAGGAGGCTGCTTCTTTGAAGGCGCCAGCCTTACATCTATAGAAACGGCCCGCGCCTTCTAAGAAGCAGGGGTGCTCGTAGGAAGCCTGCCCCCCTCCACCCCCCCTCTGCGCGTGGCTGACCATCGCGCCGCCCCCGGAAGAAGAGCACCTCCCTCCGACCCAGACCGCGAAGCGCGCACGCGCAGCCACCCTCTCGGCCGTACTTCAAAGGGTGACCCTGCAGGCACGAGGGACCTCTCGTGGTGCGCGGCTTTTTGTTCGGGGGCGATGAGGGGGCCTTTCAGATCCGAGCGCGCAGGCCGCAGCTGTCGCAGCGCACCCGCCGCTCGGGGGGGGCCCAGCGGGCCCGAGGCAAAGGTCGCTCCAGCGAAAGGTCACCCTTGCGTGCAGTCGACCTTCGCCCGGGCCCTGCACACGCGACCCGGCCCCACAGGGTCGCACTCCTGGGAGGGCCGACCTCTTGGGCGCCGGCTCCAGGCCGCTGGCCGTGGGCCTGTGGAGGCTCCGGTGTGCGGCCGGTGCTCCCAGAGATCCGACGTCGTGATTTGTTGCATACGCCCCCCCCCCCCCCGAAGTCTCGACCCACTCCCCAGGACTGGTTCTTCATCCTGGGCCGTTCTTTGACGCCCCTGGGGCCCAGCGAGGGCCCCTGGAGGCCGAAAACTGCGAGAGACCTCCACCTGGATTTGTTCACTGCGTTGGATCTCCAGGCTCTCCTCTCAGCGGAAGGTGGACGTGGGGGCTTCGGTGGATGGCTGGCGCTCTCCCTTTCCCAACCTTAAGTCGGGCGTGTCCCCCTACAGGGGGATTTTGGACGAACAAAAAATATATCAATAATAACAATAACAATAATAATAAGAATAATAATAGTAAAATTCAAAGTCATGCAAAAGCAAAAAATGGTCCCCCGACTACCTTCTAACTTTTGGGGGGAACCTTCCTCCTCCAGAGAGACAGGCCCGACTTCAGCCCCACCCCCCTGGTGGCGTCCCACGGGCTCAGCGAGTCGCCCACGTCCGCGTCGGAGCTGGTGCCCGCCGACGTCGAGTACAGGCGCGGGCTGGCGGAGCCGTCCTCCGCAACCGGGGGGCGGGCGGGCGCGAAGTGCGCCGTGCGCGGCGCGCACGGGGCCACAGAGATGCAGCGCGCTGAAAAACATCTGGGCGGAGGCTTTTCGCAGCCTTCGGCCTCCAGGGGCCCTCGCTGGGCCCCAGGGGCGTCAAGACACGACGCAGGACGGAGAGCCGGTCCTGGGGAATGGGCCGAGGCTTCCGGGGGCCCCGCCTCGAAAAAGTCACGACGGCCGATGTGAGAGAGCGTGATCCACCGCCGCTTTACTGAGGAAAATTGCCGCCCTTTTCCTCCGGAACCCGGTGGTCCCCCCCCCCCCCCCCCCCCCCTCCCGAAAATCCCTCCCCCCCTGCTGGAACCCCTCCCCCCCCCCCCCTTCCCCCGGCAAAACCCCCCTCCTCCTAACCCCCCCCCCCCCCCCCCTCCCCCTCGAAAACCGGAAGGGGTCACTACCGGTTCGAACCCCTCCCCCCCCCCCTCCGGATCCGGAAAACCGCCGGGGGGGGGTCACTACCGGTTCGAACCCCCCCCCCCCCTCGAAAACCGGAGGGGGGGGGGGGGTACCGGTTCGAACCCCTCCCCACCTCCCCTCTCACCTCCAGCAAACGACTCCCGGTCCCTACCACCGTCCTCACCACATCCCCCACTGTTGTTCCCAGCGCCACTGTCCTCACCACCACTGTCCCCACTGGTTCCACCACCGCCCCTACTGTCCCCACCAGTGCCACCACCACTGTCGCACTGTCCCCCACTGTCCCCACCACTGTTCCCACCACGGTTCCACTCTCCCAACTTTCTCCACGACTATCCCCACTGTCCCCACTGTCCCACTGACTCCTCCGCTGTCCCACTGAGCTGTCCCACTGTTCCCACCACTGTCCCCACTGTCCCCACCACTGTCCCCACTGTACCTGTCCCATTTTCCCACCGCCGTCCTCGCCACCGCCTTCACCACTGTCACTGTACCAGCCACTGTCCCACTGTTTCCACCACATTCCCACTCTCCCCACACCACTGTCCCCACCACCACCGTCCCCACCACTGTCCCACTGTCCCCACTGTTCCCACCATTGTCCTCACCATTGTCCCCACCACTACCGTCCCCACCACTGTCCCACTGTCCCCACCACTGTCCCGTTGTCCCCTCACCACTGTCCCCACCACCACCGTCCCCACCACTGTCCGCACCACCCCTCGGTTTTCGAGGGGGGGGGGGGATTCGAACCGGTAGTGACCCCCCCCCGGTTTTCGAGTTCGAGGGGGGGGGGGGTTCGAACCGGTAGTGACCCCCCCCTTTTCATGATGAACTGGGGGGGGGGGAGGGGTTCGAACCGGTAGTGACCCCCCCCGGTTTTCCAGAGGGGGGGGGGGGGGTCGAACTGGTAGTGACCCCCCCCGGTTTTCCGCCAGCAGCGGTAGAACACGCTCTTTCCGATCTCTGGGGTTGCGGGAACAAGTGCTCCACAAGACACTGTGACGTCTCCAGGGGCTTTACCAGCGCCTTCAAGGACCTCCCAAGCTGCCCGAGGCCTCCAGGGATCTCCGAAAGCCTCGCAGGGCGTCCCACCAACGCCCCCCAGTGACTTTTCACGCGTCCCAGGGCCTCTGCAGGGGAGGACGGGGTTTGGGGCGAAGGGAGTCGGCAAAGGGCGCGGGTGGTGCGGGTCAAGGGGAGGGTATGATGGGGAACAAGGGAGGGAGGAGTTGGGGTAGCAGGGGAAGTATGAGGGAGGATGGAGGAAGGAAGCGGCACGGCGTGGCAGAGTGCCAGCCCCGACAAGGCCCGCGCGGCGCCGAGGCTGCGACCCGCACTGACACGAGGGGGCGCTGCCACACGCAAGTCGAGCTACATCATGCCGGTGCTGCCATGACTGACCGAGGCCCGCAGGCGGAGTGCACCGCGGTGCCCCGCTGGGCACAGCGGGGCGCCACGTCGGCCGGGCCGGCGGACGTGTGGCTGGCCTGCCGCTGCGGCAGCGGGCGCGGACGGGACTGGACCCCAAACGCCACAGACGCCGACGGCGGTCAAGTGGAGGACCACAGCGCGCGTGTGCCTCCGCAGGCTGGGCCGCCGTGGCTGCATCAGAGAGTCATGCTCGTGGAGGCGGACCGCTTGGGTGGCCAAGTCATCAACTCGGCGGTTGCGGTGCTCACTCGAACATGGCAGAGGTGAGCCTAGCCTCAATGCCCGCGTGGCCAAGGTTGTCAGCGACCCGGTCGGTCCCCAAGGAGGAGGAGGAGGAGGAGGAGGAGGAGGAGGAGGAGGAGGAGGAGGAGGAGGCGGGGGAGGAGGAGGAGGAAGACGAGGAGGAGGAGGAGGAGCTGGGGCCAGGCCTGGATCACGGCGCAGACTTGCCGCCAGAGGACAGCGCGGGGGCCGCCAGGCGCAAGGCGCCTCCCTCAACGATGGCCAGGGAGCTGTCGACCACCGCCTGTCGAGAAACGCGCGCGCACGGCGCCGTCTGATTGCCACGAGGTGGAGAGGTGCCGCGGCTTAGGCCCGCTGGCGTTCTGGACGATGCCGCGGAGGCGGGCGGAAAAGGTCGAGGCGATTTCTGGCCCTGCGGAATACGCCGGGCTCGTGCGGGGGCTCCGCGTGGTGCGAATTTCCGCTGTCACCATTCGTCCGTGCGCGGGCATCTGCACAGGGGGCGCGGATTCCTTGTCCGTCAGCGGGGGCACATTCCTCTCCCATGCTCTGGCGCCCCTGGCCCCCTGAAGACGCCCCCCTCCCAAGCCGTCCCCCCCAACCAGCGCGCCAGGGTCACAAAGCAGCGCGTGCTGGGAGCGGGCGCGGGGGGCTGGAGCAGGCGCCATCCGTCTCCGCGCAGGCCCAACAGGACGGGGGTCGCGGCGGACGGGGCCGAAGCTGGGAGGGGTCCTGGACCGGCTCCGACAGGCGGGGATCCCCCGCGGAAAAAGCAGCAGTGCCGCGTCGCCAGCGCACGCCCTTCGTCTGTGGAGCCCCGCGCGGTGGCACCGCCGCGCAGTGTGCCGGCGGGCCTCGTCGCCCTCAGTGGGGTATACCGGCACTGGGGGGAGCGGGTCGGCGACGACCTGGGCCCGCGACGCGCGCAGCTGGCCGCGGTCGCCGCCTGCGGGGAAGCTGCGGAGCAGGTGTTCAGTGGTTTGCAAGCGCAGCTGAATTCTTTCCCGTGAGAAGAAAGGTTGTTGATCCCCCGTGCGCGGAAGTGCTTTTTCCTGGGCCTCGCACCCTGTTTTCTCACGGGAAAATGAAGTGCCACCAATCTAGGCCCCTGGCCGCCGGCTTACAACAACAGCGGCTTCCACCAGATACCTGAAAATCGGGCTCTCGCGCGGGACCTCCCCACAATGTATATCGGAATCGTGCTCCCGCGTGGGACTTCCTCACAATTTGTTCAGACGCCACGCCCCCGACACTCAGGAATCCTGCGCTCGCTGTGGACTTCGCGATATGTGTGGGAATTGCGCTATCCCTCGAGACCGCACGCTGCAGCAACCCGCCTGCTCGACCTAGCCGCCTGGGCCTGCCTTCCCGACCCGCCCGTGGGGGGCGCACCCGCCCAATGTGCCCGTCTGGTTCTGCCACAGGTGTTCTGCTCCTGGCCGCCCTCCCGCTGCTCTGTATCGTGCTCGATCCCTCCCTCCCCCTTCGTCCCTTCCTTCCATACGTCCGCTCCTCCCCTGCCTTAGGGTCTGCACGAAGTACACGCTGCGGGTGAAAAAGATAGAACCCCAAGTGGAGTACGATCGAAGACAAGGAGGGCGGGAATCGATAGTCAGGGGTATACGTGTTCATCGTCACGCGAGCGGATGGGAGCGAACAGGATTGTTGATGTTGCTGTTGGTGTTGGTATTGTTGTTGTTGCTGATGTTACTGTTGGTGGTGGTGGTGTTGCTGTTAGTGTCGTTGTTGTCGTTGTTGGTGGTGGTGGCGGTGGCGTTGTTGTTGGTGGTGGTGTTGTACGTGTTGCTGTTGTTGGTGGTGGCGTCGTTTTTGTTGTTGTCGTTGGTGCTGTTGGTATTGCTGTTGCTGTTGCTGCTGTCGCGGTTGTTGTTAGTGTTGCTGTGGTTGTTGCTGGTGTTGGTGTTATTGCTCTTGATGTTGATGCATGTGGTTGTTGCTGTTGACTGCTGTTCCCGTTGTTTCTGTTGATGCTCCCGTTGTTCCTGCTGGTGTTGCTGTTGTTGCTGTTGTTGTTCCCGTTTGTGCTGTTGATTCTGCTGGTGCTCTCGTTGATGCCGTGTTGTCTTTCTGTCACGGAGCCGGGGGCGCTGCCACTGCGCGGGCGTGGTGGCAGCCACCTGGGGGGGCGCAGTGGTCTTGGGCCGTGGCGCACGGCGGCCCAGGACTCGAGGCCGCTGCGCACGGCGGGCGCGCGCCAGGGGAGCGCCGCGGAGACGTCCGCAGCGCGTGCTGGAGCCAGTGGAGCGACGAAAAGAAGCGTTAGGAGGCAACTGCTGGGAGGTTTGCGTCGGATAAATCAAAGAGGATTAAGCCCCGTTTGGGAGCTGTTACGCCGGAATGGGCCTCGGACTAAGCCGGATTAAGCGGGATTAAGCGGGATTAAGCCGGATTAAGGGGGATTGAGCCGGATTAAACCGGATTTCGGACCAGGGCAGAATCAGAATTTGACCTCCCAGGAGTTGCATCCGAAGAAGCGGGTCTTACGTGAGAAGGCATACAGTCAACCCGTAAAATAAGGATGCGCGGCAAGGATGCAAGGGCCTCGGAGGGCCACGTTAGCGTTTTGCGAGCGAGGTTGGCCCGCGAAAGTAGCCAAGGATGGGCCGAACGGGCCAGGATGCAGGGGAAGACTCGAAAAGTTGCTCATCCTTACTGTGCGGGTTGACTGTAGCGACCTGACGCCGCGGCTCGCGCGGGCCGCCAACGTGGCTCATCGCGCGGAGATGAGGGGCGCTCACGCGCGACCTTGCGCGGGAAGCTTGCGGGCGAATCTCCGCGCGGCCGACCCCATCTGTTCTGCGTCGCTCAGTTGGCGCTGCCAGTGAACCACTGC